GCACGAACACTGCCATTTGACATTTGCAACAGCCACATTACGCTTGGTTACAGCCATTACACTTTGAAGGAACACAACTCCATTCTGAAGTTTGAATCTGCTGAAATGTACATGCATGCATGCGTTAAAGATACCGACTAAATTCTTGCGTTTGGAAATCCATTAATGTATTGAATATTGATATTTTAGTTTAATGCAGGCATACAATAGAAATAGCGATATTTACGAGTCAAATGTGAGATATGCATAGGTCTTGTTGTTTAAGCAAGATTCCCATCGCTGTAATTTCAGTCATACCTTCGACTTTTCGGACTTTTTTTTCATTGCAAATTTCAATTCAAGCAAATCGGAGTCTGAATCCCAACGAAAGTGACTAAAATTTGACCACTTGAGCTGGAATGCCTCCATTATTTTTTACAGCGAAGATCTCTGGGTCATCCTTCAGATACAGTATACTTGTGCTGTAAGAAAGAGACATCCTTGGGATGTCTTTACGTCCAGACATTTTGATATCCCTGAGATGTCCCCACAAGTAATGTCCGGGACATCTCTGGAATGTCCCGGACAGATGTCCCTACTCCTCGTCTCTGGGACATCGCACTTGTCCTACTGTAAGGGGATATCTCTGGGACATCTTTTGGATATACAGGGTGTCTGATAAGTCAATAGCTATTTTTAAGTTGGTAATACATAATGAAGGAACCACATTATAACGGTAACTATCACAGGGATCGAAAGCTTATTCTTTACCATTTTTGTTACAGGTAACTAAAAATGCCTCCAGTGCTTAGCGTAGAAGAGCGAGCAAAAATTACTGCAAGGTACAAAGTATGGAAATCGGTTATTCAAGTTCAGCGTTGGTGGAGAGCAGAAAATGGTAGAAATGCAACGCTCAACCCCAAAACCATCAGAAAGTGCCACAGTAAATTAATGAGAACTGGTTCTCTTTTGGACTTGCCACGTTCTGGTCGACCGACAACGTCACGATCTGAAGAAAATGTTGCTAATGTCCAGGAAATGTTTGAAAGAAGTCCTAAAAAGTCCATCCGTCAGGCATCCAAAGAAAGCGGGCTAACACGCTATACCATTGAGACAGTTTTGAAAAAAGATTTTCATTTCCGTCCCTGGAAGCCTCATTACGTCCAGCAAATCTTTCCCGAGGACTGTGACCACCGTATGGAATTTTCAGAAATCATGCTAGGATGGAAAGATAGATAATCCTAATCTGTTTGATAACATCATATGGTCTGATGAGACAGTTTTTCATGTGGGTGGTTTTGTTAACAGACATAACTGTCATTATTGGGGTAACGTTGATCCAGGTGCTACTGTTGAAAAAATGCAGTCACGACCGAAGGTAACAGTATGGTGTGGTATGACATCGACCAATATGGTAGGTCCTTATCTTCTACGAGACACAATGAACGGTGAACGCTATTTAAATATGCTTCAGAACTTTGTGTTCCCTATCATTACTCAATGGAATAACGCTGCAGAGCTCATATTTATGCAAGACGGTGCACCACCACACTTTGCTATTGAAGTTCGCAACTGGCTTGACACCCACTTTCCAGGACAATGGATAGGTCGTCGTGGACCAACAGAGTGACCTGCTAGAAGCCCAGACCTTACACCTTGTGATTTTTTCTGGTGGGGCTGGGCCAAGGAAGAAGTTTACAAGACTTGCCCAAGAACTGTTGATCTTGAGGACAGAATCCGTGATGTTTTAAACGCAGTTCCCCATGATTTCTTTAAAAAAAAGCAGTGGACCTTGTACCAAAACGTTTACAGAAATGTATTAACAATGCTGGTGCTTATGTTGAATTCTAAGGGGGATAGTTTGTAATAGTAATAAATGTTCTATAGTTTCCATGACCAAATAAATGTTAAACTTATATGCCTATTGTTCAAGATGTATTTGAAAATAGGTATTGACTTATCAGACACCCTGTACATGCGCTGTGTGGGTAGGCAAAATGAAATTAAGCGAACTAGGATTTTGACATTTCGTCGCACACCGGAATTAACTCAGCCAGTCATAAGCGTACCAAGTTTCCGGAGGCGGGGAAGAACGTGGTGTTTTCATAGCCCTCCTCTGGAGACAGGATCAGAGATGATTCCTTTCCTTTGGGACAGGGAAGTTGAATTTCCTTTGATGTCTGTGTATGCTGTGGGCGTACACAGGAGTACGAAGATAGAGAGGGGGAGGGGGAATAGGACTAGGTGTAATGTGTCGGGGCGCATGACATTCGATGACTTTAAAAGCCCTCCTTCACAAGATTCCCATCGCACCGCGACAGTTCCTTCCTCTTCTGCAACCCATACTTGATTGCGGCTGTGTGCTCTTTGATCATACCGTATCATCTGCCACATCCAGACAAATCGTCTCCAGCAAAATGTAAGCTTTCAAATTCATATCCTTTGACTACAATGTTTGCATCTTCTCCTGCCCGTAGTTCCCAATAGTGCACCGGTTCAAAGTCGTTTACAATAATCTTTGCATGAGACGGACGTACTTGAAAGTGAAAACAAGAAACACGCCATTCCACGATAACACAATGCATGAGCCTAAATTATTGGAATATATTCAACTTAGTATATAAGTCTTAACTATATCCAACACATATTTGTGTTGAATATAGCATTTTTTATACTGTAGGTTTTTTTAAAATAATCTCTTGGGATATGTGAATTCACAAAACATATACTGCTCATCAGAAAACTCATATATTCATTGCGACGCCTTTAACTCTTTCGCTGCGGGATTTTGAAGATCCTAATATTCCTTTGGGTGCAATAATGCGATAACCGCAGCAAAAGGGAATCCACAGATAGTTGGTGTTCGGGCAGTCATGTCAGATACGCATTTTTTTGCTTTCGAGGAAACAGTAACAATCTGCTGTGTATCGCGGCTTTGGTAAAAACTTAATTGAAACCCTAACCGAGCGTGAAATTGAGGTCTGGTTTCAACAAGAAATGCATCCCAACCAGCTAATGCATCAAAGGAGCGTCTGCAAACTTTTTTGGGAGAACGAATCGGGGAAACGAAGTCAAGGGCCTTTGACCTCCGCGATCACCGGACTTTTCTGCATCATATTATCTTTTACGGGGTCACCTCAGTGGACAGGCTTACTTCTACACACCCGCCAACCTAGAAGAACTGAAAGACAATATCCCTGATGTTATTTGTGACATCTTGAAAGAGGCCCAAGACTATTCCGCTGTGAAAGTAGTTAATGATGGACACTTCTAGTGTCTCCTATAAACACAATGTTCACAATGATTTCAATCAACATTGAAATAAGTGCTTCATACGCTTATGTGGGGTGGCGCCTATGACGAAAGCTTTCCTGCGTCAATTAATGCAGCTTTCCTTCAGCAGTAAGCCTCGTATGCATACCCAAGTAATTAGAAAGGGCCATTTTTCAGCCTCCTAATACTGAAAAATGATATCGCGATATGCGGACTAATCGCCGATAGGAAAAATATCGATCCATATAGTAATATCGCAATTTTCGACAGAAAATGATCGACAGAATTTAGAAACTGCTCACCAATCAAAATTGCGTCAAGTTCTTCTTGGCCAATTATTTTCTTAAAAAAAAATATGATTAAAGTTCAACAACCTGCAGCGCAGTTCAAAATTGTACACTTTGGCAGGAAAGTTAAGGATGACCAGCGAATTCGATTGCTTCCATGATCTTCGGCAAGACAGCGAGCAGAGGCGGGCTACCGTCATTAAACGATGTCTTAAAACTTATTCGCTACATTTTTCATATCGTCCATTTTTACTTTCCATATCTCCTTTTAGAATATGTTTATTTTCGTGCGGCTTCCAGCAAGGGAAAGTTTCATCTTCTTTCTATTTGGTTAAATAAAGTTTCAATGCGGAATATTATACAAGAAAAATACATTATTATGGTTGTAACTTCTGTGACACTCAGAAAATCATTTGTCATGAACTTCGTTTAGTTAGTTTGGAAAGTTTCCTCTATAAACCAATTTCGAGCTGGGACTCATCGCAGTCATACGGATCCTCGACTTTGAGCTACGAGTTTTTTTCAGCCAACGATGACGCAAGACTTTCCTTCTACTTTTTCTTTCAAGCTGATTGAGAGAGAGGGTGAGTAAGGGTCAGTGATCGAAGTTGCAATGAAGACTATGAACGGCTGGAGGCCATGTGAAGGTTGGAATGCGCTGAGGGTGTCAGTCTTCTTGGTCTGCCTTTGCACTACTTTCAGCGCACCCTCTCAAGCCTACTATTGGTACCGCTTCTCCCTTACACCACCCGCTCAAAACGTGCAGGTGAGTGCCACCTATTTCACACAAATTTTTGAAAGTGCCTCCAATGGAGTTAGAGAAGGAAAAATATGGAAGAGAGAGTGAATTAAACACATGGATTGTTCCTTGAATTTAGCTTATGGGGCAAGGGAGGGAAGATGAGAGGAAAGTATATTTCTGTTTATAACTTCATCAGTCCAATGACTGCTAATTTCATTTCCTGCTATATTGAATATCATCACGCAATGAATCATAGTTCCATTGGGCGTGTCTGATGCTAGTCTCTCTTCCTGGAAATATATAATTTAGAACACACTATGATCCTTTTGCCTTGCGCCAGGGCTTGCGTTTGCGCGCAAATGTACATCCTATACGCACGAAATTGCGAAGGGACCCATAACAGAAAAACATAGGGCCCCAGGGGCGCGCGGAGAATTTCCCAAATTTTCTGACGGTTTTCAGGCCAGTTGGCAGTTGCCTCTTAGAACCATGCCTAAATAAACCCATGCGCAACCTTATTAGTGGCTGGAAGGGGGGGTGTGGGGGGATCGAAGCGAAGTCCTTGCCGAGGAAGGTGCGCGACGTGAAAGTGATCAACGTAGCGTCGGTTGCATTGTGTTAACGCGCTCATGATATATGATAGGGAATATTTCCGTTCATTTCAATTAAGGCTTCAGGGCGGTTGAGGCCAACACTCTTCTCGCTCAGGTTTGAGCGGAATGTACGATGTTAGTTAATTTGAATCACACGTGGGCATACGGTCAGGTGTTTCTGAACAGAGGTCGAGTGCCACATAAAGGTGTCAACAGCGTAGGTCTAAATTCTAAACGAAGGTGATGTCTTCGTTCCTCTTAATGCGCACATAGAAGGGGAAAATCGCCATAGGTCTTGAGCTAGTCAAACCGAAGGGAAAGAGATGGACGGGGGCGATGATGAAAATGGGCAGCTTGCGAACCATGAATCACAACGGAGAAAATATTCTTAAAATCGAAAAAGGAGTGGGTCAACGTGTATCCCTGGCTTTCTTATAGAGATGGAAGAGCTTCCTGTTATTTCTGCTCAAATGCAAATAAGACAAATCCCTACTCTGCATCTGGCAGTTGTAATTTGCAGAAATTTGTAATTTGAAGATGCCCTAGGGATATTTTTCAAAGAGAAAATGTTCGAAGAAGTCCTAAGGCTGTTGGATTGAATATCATGCTGTTTAGTCATGTTAAATCAAAGAAAAAACATTGACTGTGGGACTTGAGCTTTTTGCGCAACTTCGCAAAATTTCATCATGTTTCAATTGCAGAGACCCCCAAATTTTTCAGAGGGACCCTTTCTTACCAGACCTGAGAGTCCTGGAGACCGTTAAGGCAAGAAAGTTAGCGCAATCCCTGTTGATGCAGATGAAGAGGAATCAAGATGAGTTTGGACAAGAAGAGGCAGACTTTTGGAATGAGTATGAAGCTAGGCCTTTCAAGAAATCCTCAAAACCATATGATCCCGAAAGAAGTATGTGATATAATTTCTTTCTCTTGATAATCTCCCAATGTTTTTCCAAAAATTATTTTGAAGGCACTCACCAAATTGTTTACCTGATTTTTTGTAAGATTTTTGCTGCAACTTTTAACTTGGTTCTATTAAAGAATTGATGACAATATATATATTTTGCTGTAACTTTCTATGAGTACTTGTGTGTTCTCTTCCTCGATGTTGCGTGGCGACGACTTGAATCATAGGAACTCATAGTCTACTTAATCAACAAATACATGATACTCCAAGTTTTGGGACACGCCATGTCCAAATAATGATAACTTTTATCGCAATTTACATACTGGTCACATGGAAAGTACTGCACAAGGTTTAATGCATGTGTTGCTGCCGAAGGACTTCATCCTGAGGCAAGTAGTCGTGTGGCACAGTGCTAAAGGATTTTCAATACAGAATGATCATTGGATGCCACATTACTGGAAAGTCTGTCTATGAAGCCGCAGAGCAAACTGTCATCCCATGGTCAATAGTAGGTTATAGTATGGAGAAACGAAAGTCAACTAGTACTGCAACGGTCACTCTCCGTTCTTGTCAAATCTAGAAAATCAGCTCTAGATAAAGGACACTGAAACGGAGAATAATTACATAATTAACCCCAGAGACGTAACACAGGCTTTTCCAAAAGCTGTATGGACATCTTTCTGAGTAAATACAGTATGAGAATAGATTCATGAGCTCAGACATCATTGTCGAGGAGGGTCCATAAAATATTAATCAATAACAAACCGGATCATATGATCCAGATTGAGATAGCGAATGCAGATGGGATCCAAAAACTTCATTGAGTAGATTGTATGCATTATGTATTATTGCCATCATCCATGAATCTATAAATATACTGACACCTATATTTACTGCCAGCTATGAGCTTTCTGAATTCCAACATGCTAAGAGAATGGACTTCATAATTTTAACAAATTACTCCAATAATATTGAAATGCAGTAAGTCTTGTATACTTTATAGGTGTACTAGTCTAGTATAATCTCTTCAAAGGTGATAGCATTTTCATATTCCCAATTCAGCTAAAGACATTCACTACAATATTTTTTGCATATTCATTATTTTACTTGCTTCACTGTTTTTTTTTCAGCCAAGAACATGTGTCTCTTCAAGCTGTGCAACTTCTATCGGAGGTGGCCACAGTCCCCATGATGCAACCCGGAAGTTATCAAACATAAAATCCAGTTACCTACCCCCTCATTGGTCCAGTATGAATTTCAAAAATCCCACTTTGTTCAATCACCATGGAATATCTGTAATTCCTGAGCAACATAGGAGATTGTAGGCTAAGCTTGTGAACAACATCTTCCAGATCATCATTTGCCAACTTATGTTCATATCAATATATACATGAACTTATGTTCAACTACTGTTCATGGCAAAGCAACATGTACACAGAAGCCAAATTTAAAAAGTGATCACTTCTAACCAACTCCTGTATCTTTTAAATGAGCTTATGGATACCCATTTGGTTTCAGTGTATTTTAATCTTGCCTATTAATCTCGTTTCTGCAAAAACTGGTTGAAATAAATCAAGAGAATTTGGAGACAAGAGTATTAAAAATATCTGCCAAGAAAATGACAGCACACAAAGTGTTGGTCAATAAAAATAAGGTCACAGGAATACCATCCAGTCATGAACATTTTTGTTCAAAATATTTTATTTGAAGGAGAAACTTTCATCCACTAACATGTATTGCTGCCCTTAAACCTTACCTCCTGCTCAAAAACTGTCTGTTTACAAAAAAAAGAAAAGCAGATTATTAGCCAAGACGTGATTTACTTTCAAGCGCAAGACAGACATTCATAATAAAAAGTTTCATCAGTGCAACCAACAGATTTTCAGCCAGAATGTTCCTAAATGCTCATATTTTCAGATTCTTAACTAATTTCAACCAATATTTTTAGAAACAAGTGCAATTGGCAAGAGTATGCAAAATTAAAATTTCTTGAACATCCAAGCCTTTGTTTGAAAATTACAGGAATTTTAAAGGTGGCTCCTAACTTATTGGACCACCATGTACACTAATGAGAGTTCAGACTGATTCTTCATGTTCACTTCAAAATAAAGCATATTTTCCCTGCTTTCATGGTTTTTTTTTTTTATTGCACTCTGCTGGCTCAGGATACTAAGTCATCTGAAAGAGAAGGTACTCATTGTGCAAAAACATGCAAATGAATGCCAGAAGATAGGCCTCTGCAATAGGCAGTGCATGTAGGCCTGAATTGTGGCATAGAAAATAAGTCAAATTTTTTGGCATTGTGACTTTACCCCAGAAATACCCTATCAGAAATACTGGTACCTTGGTATCTATCTGTATTGTTTTTTCCTCTTTACCCACCTCCTTTGCCTTGAGGCCTGATCAAGTCAACAAGTCTGTAACTATTAATAGTCAATTTAGCAGTAAAGATTGTTTTCTATTCCTTTTTTTAACACAAAAGGAAGTCGGTTTTAATTTCAAGCTTCTCTTTCATGATCCCTTACTTTCAAAACAACTTGTGGGGTTCTGCAATGCTTTAAGGACTTCTCTTACCCTCAAGAAGGGGTCTGGCACTTCTTGAAATATACCAGATTAGAGGCATCATGTGACCAAGCTGGGTTTCACACTTGTACCAGCATAGGAAGGAAAGTAAGGAAAGGGAGACAAGGGGATGGCAACAGTTTTATCTTGTTCATTAAGGTTTAGGATGGAGACTCTTTTTATCAGTTTCAAGGGTAGAACTGAATTCCAGGAGTGAGGGAGGAGATTGTCTCAATCAACCAATGTTCTAGGCAAGAAACCATACCAGAACAGGATAGTTCTTGCAGGAATGTAGTTGATTGAACATTAGAAGCCTTTCCTGGATTTTTTTTTTTTCTCACCAAGGAATTCTTGCAGTCAAGGTTAAGCTGGGGTTTATCATAACTAGAATATGCCATAAAACTAACCTGAAATTTCCATCTGAAACAGTAGTCTCTGAGTATAAATCATGCAGCTCACTTCTAAACCATTATGTCTTATTCCCTATCCTCAAAAAAAAGGTAGGCTGTAGGTCATAGGATATGGGTAAATAATTGGTTTAAAAAAGTAGATACTTAATGGTTTAAAAGGATAAGTCTTGTTATTCAAGTTCATGGTTTTAATTGTGGAAATATTCAAAGACCCTTCTTTCAGGGGTGTTGTCTTCCACCAATCACTATATGTTTCAAAAGGTTCTGCAAGAATATGGTGCAGAGGTTCCTTGCACAAAATTTGGGGGTTCAGTATATATCAGTGGTTTCCAAACTTTTTTACAGAGTAACCCATAATTTGCTTATTCAAGACATCAACCCATATAGAAAATTGCTGGTCTCCAGAAAATTAAACAGGTAGAAAAATATAATGCATGACAAGACTAAAAAATGTTTTTCTTGTGTCTTGGGTTCCAAACCAAAAGCTCACAGCAATCAAGGAGTGAGTCACAACCCATAGGTTGGGAACTCCTGGTATATATGGTGCTCCTTTTCACCTTATAAAGTTTTCTGCCTGCCATTGACCTGTTACCTTGATTACACCTCAGTACCCACAATGACTCAATTTCATGACCCCCTAGGCAGTGTCCTTGCCCTGGTTCTTGTGTTGTTATTCATCAACCACTTCACTTCCATCCAAAACAAGGTCTACTTGATCATAGATGGCATCATTTTTCATCCCATCTATCTGAACCACACATCCCAATGGAGCAGTGACTTTCTTGCTTCAAAGGGACATGGAGTTCATATCAAAATGGACATCCCAAAGGAACATCTCTTCCGATTCGAAAAATAGTCGATCTCATATATTTTTCTACATGAAAAAGCTGCCTTCTATCCATCTCCCCTTTGAAAATGATTCTCCAGTCATGCAGTTGGTTGATGTTTCTTAGGGTTACTTTCAATAGTCGGCTCAAGTGCCAGATCAGACCTCATTGACGATAAGGCAATGGAATCAGAAGTAGAAGTAGAAGCAGAAACTCTACCCAGAAGGCAATCCCCATGACTATCACATCTGAAGAGGCTGAGGTGGCCAGACTTCAGACAAGTCCCATATTACTGGGATTAGGTATAGGCCTAGGTTGACTTTAACTTTTTTGGGAAAATATCAAGGGAAATGGTGCTTACGTGACGAGGTTAGGGAGAATTGATTTAATACGGTCGCTAAGGAGTCATGTTCGTGCTTGCACGTGATTGATCCGCTAACCGGCTATAGGGCTATGAGGTGAAAGGCCCAAATCGCTCGGTAATGCAAGTGGCCATCATGGCTTGCTCTGATTGGTCTGCTAATCGAGGGATGCAGCCAATCCTCGAATGTGCGAAGACATTCAATGTCTGATGTATCAGGCCAACAGTAGTTTCACATGAGGTACACTGTTTTCGGATTGAATTGGTACCCCCCTACTGTGGAGAACGGTGAAAACACAAGCTTTCCAGACAATCCTCAAGATGTCAAGCCTGATGCTCCACATGGTTGTTGGATGATTCTATTAATACTTCACCTTCCATCCACAAGGTGTCCTGCCTGTACTTGATGGAAGCGCTCCTAGGGGGGGGGGGGGGTACCAATTCAATCCGAAAACAGTGTAAATATTATTTAACTTGACCACTTACACAACCAGTGGCGTAGGCAGGAAATCGGCAAGGGGGGGGTTTGAGGCCAGGAAGACCTACGCCTAGCTCCACTACCCGGAATTTACCTATTCAAAGAAATCATGGTCAAGCATCTTGGGTCTGTGGACAGACCTCAGACTTTCCTCGAAGGGGCATAGCTAAAATTGGAATTCCCAAGGAAGGTTGAAATATGCCTGTCAGTGTCACTGACCGGAAAGCTCAAGGGGGGAGGTTCTAACCCCCTTACCCCCCCCCCCCTTCCCTACGCCACTGTACACAACCAAGGGGGGGGGGGGGGGGGGGGGGGGGGGCAAGGGGGTACCCTGCTCGGCTGAACTGAGCCATGGCTGCTATATTAGCCCGATTCAAATCTCTGATAATTTGCACCTTAAAGCATCTGAAAATGAGGCTTACCGAAGAGACAGAGATGAGCAGCGGAGGAAAATAAGACGAAGAACCAGTCGGAATATGAATAGTACCGATGGGAAGATCCATGCTGGATCTACAATTACAATTACACAGACATACTCTTACACAGAAACAAAGAAAGTCAGTGTCCAGTTACCACTAAGGCCTACATAACAATTTTTCCGCTCAATCGATAGGTTTAGCTAATCCTTTGAATTTATTCAATACCTAGCAATCTCAAGTAACACAAAAACATTCCAGCAACATTTTAAGAATGTTGATAATCTATGTTGCTTCTATGTGTAAATGTCCAAAACGTTCACGTTGTTCAAATGTTGCAAAAAGAAGAATGAATTGACGTTACAGGTCGTTACATATAAGTTTTCTAATGTTGCAGTAACTTTCGGGACTGTTCAACGTAAGTATCTTCAATGTTGATGGAGAACGTAGTCTCACTGACACCTAATATGGACCTACATTGGCATTACTACCCAGAGAAGCATATTAGGCTTCATTGGCCCCCAGCTGGACCGAAAATCATGCCAATATTGAATTATTTCATTAATCATTTCGTAACACATAATTCAATTTCTTACCCAGTCATTGAGGAGACATTCCCATCAACAAGGCGAAGTCTGTACCTCCCTTCCTCATACACAATACAATACCTGTATCATGGATAGGAGACAGTACATTTCAGGAGTTTATCTTCTCATTGTGCTAAATATTGCTCGTTTCAGGGAATGGTCCACCCACCATGTCATAAGGAGTGATTTCTGCCCCTCTCTCCAAGCTGTTCTCAGGATGAGATAATAAAGGATTGAATTCACAAACTACCATCTTCTTCTCTTATAAAATCAATTTGCTGAATTTTGGGAAAGGGTTCTTTTACGGAATATGAGCTTGTTTTGGCTTGGGCTCCATGAATTTGTCTCGAATATGGGGATAACAAATAATTAAATGTCCGGCTTCATTGATTCCTATAATGAGACTAGCGAGGCATATGGCAAGGTACTAAACACTACTGTGAGGGACGATTCCAGGGAAAGGGAGAAGGATATTTTTGTGCACTGTTCGATTCGAAAAGCGAGACCTACGCCTCCATCTAGTGGCCTGGAGGACAACTTTACAATTTCTTAAAGCTTCCAAGTGCATATTATATCAGGATGTTGTCGCGACGTTGTCAATGGCAACGGAGTCAACATTCTTTCAATATTGATTGCGAATGTTGCAATAACATTCGTAGAAGTAAGTATCGCAGCAGCGTTCCAAGTGCTCAAAATGAGAAACGTTGAAGCAATGTTTTAAATTTTTTTCACCAACTTGCAACATAGTCCAACATTGGCCACATTTTGGAAACGTCATTCAGCATTCTGTGTTATTAGAGATGTTCTCGAAAGTAATCTCTGCCTTTTGGAAAAATTTTTGAAGTTACCTATGGAGACCTTTGTTATTTGAACTTAATTTTCAACGTAATATTTATCACTTCGTCATGCTTCACTCTGCTCAAAGTCATCAATTCAGTTCGAGCATCAGTTAAATTTCTCAATAAATTCCTTCCACGCATAATATATATTATACTCTGCGGGAAAATCTGGACATTCCAATTTTGAAAACACGACCCAAGATTGATTATTGAATTCACTGTAGTCATACATATCTATGAAAATGCATATATTTATGTATTAATTATCTTGTTCATGAATACTATTTTCTTGGTTTTATAAGATGCGGATTGGTAACGGCATTAAAGTTTTTTTCAAGAGTATAGCAAGCTGCAAATATATCTAATAAATAGACGATCGTGACTGACTGACGCTAATTCTAACCATGTTCTAGAAAGGCTAAAAATCTGAAACTTGGTACACATGTACCTTTTGGGATGCAGAGTTTAAAAAAATCCGACTTTGGAGGTACATGCCCTGGTGGTACAAATTTTGGGCTGGAAAAGTTTTTCTTAAATATATATTGTGACGGATGAGGATGGCATTCAGAGGGTCTAGTGGATGTCCCAGGTTCGGTGGTGTGGTGGTAGCTTATCTGACCGGCAATCAGGAGGTCCGGGTTCAATTCACGGCTTTTATTCATGGCTTTTATTTTGGCTTCTCTTGACTTTCATGTCCCGTTACTCATTCCCCCTCCATAACATTGTTTTTGCTTGAATACAACGGAGAGACATGGAAAGCTGAAACCTGGCATGGACGTGCCTACCGAGACGATGAGTTCAGGAAAAATGCAAAATTTTAGATCCATGCCCTGGGGGATATTTTTTGGGGCCAACGTTTTCAAGTAATTTATTTGTCCTGGCGTATTGAGCAAGTGTAGAAAGGTGAAACTTGGCACCTATTGGAATGCCACAGAAAAATTCAAACTTTGGAAGTAAATTCCCTGGGGGCACAAATTTCAAAGGTAGATGTTTTCAACTAATTTTTTTTGCATCAGTTAAGCTTTTATGAACATGAAACTTTGCATGAATGTGACTACTGAGACAAGGAGTTAAAGGAACATGTTTAGTCTCGATACATCACCAGGAGGAATTTTTTCGAGGGGCGATGTTTTGAAAAAAAATTGTCGTGGCGAATTAGACAGAAATGGAAAGGTGAAACTTGGCACACGTATAAGTGACATGATATTATTGAGCTGAGGGAGTATTCAGCTTTCATGGTGCATCCCCTCCGGGCATAGCTTTAGGATGGGTCGGCTTTTCCAAACATTCTTTTTTACCAGCGAAAAGGGCAAACGTATAATATTGAAACTTTGTGGGCATGTAGTTCACTGAGGATGGATTTTGGTATAATAAAAAATGGTACTTTTGGGTTAAAATGGCTCAGGGCACATATTTTGCAAAAGGCGCATTTTCCCTATTTTTCTGATCCAGCAAAACAGAGGGTGCATGAAAGTTTAAACTTGGCAAAGAAGTACCTAATGGATAGATGAGTAATGAAAAAATTCTACTTTTTATTATATATATACGATCGTGAGTAGCTGATTGACTGACATAAGTAGCTATTCGCCGGCTGTGTTCAGGAAAAGTTCTACTTTGGTACTACATGCCATAGAGGCACACCTTTTCGGGGAACATATTTTCAAATAGTTCTCTTTGCTTCAATCAAACGGAGACACATGGAAAGCTGAAACTTGGCAAGAACGTGACCGTTGACGCGCTAAGCTCAAATGTCAAACGTCAAATTTCCAAAATATTTTTGGGGTTCATATTTCTTGGGGACGTAAAGTTTTCAAATAATTTTTCAGATCCTACCGAATCGGGCAGAAATAAAAAGTAGCTGGCGCACGCATTACGGACGTGATGTTGATTTAAGAAAAAATTCAAATTTTTTGACAACTCAGAGCACAGCTTTTGGGTGAGTCGCTTTTCCAAATGCATTTTTTCCGCCAGCAAAATAAGGGAACCGTATTAGACTGAAACTGGATGCCATGGANAAGCACGATGGAAGGAGAAACCGCTTCACGGCCAGCATCCCAAGATCATGGATAAACCATCGATCGACTCGGACGTCAGCTATAACTGGCTGAAGAAGGGACTGCTGAATGCCGAGACAGAGAGCAACATCCTAGCCATTCAGGACCAGTGCATTAGAACTCGTAACTACGAGAAGCACATCCTGAAGCTGGATGTGGAAGACCGCTGCAGATGCTGTCATGGACCACCCGAAACGGTTCACCACCTCCTTAGTGCCTGCCCCGAACTAGTCCCGAGGGAGTACCTGCACAGGCACGACCAGATGTGCAAATATGTGCACTGGTGTGTCTGCA